CTGGCTCTAACACAAGCATTTACGTACACATATTATTGATTCTTACTCTCGAGAATCTTCTACAACTTTGGAGAATAGGCAGAAGTTTCGCAATACATATTTCACAGTATAAACTATGCATGTTTCTAAATATAAACTTAATCTAAACAAACGTTGATATTAAAATAAATATATAATAACAAATTCGTTACACCTTTGACTTTTTATTCATACCTACATCATTATCTAATATGCAAGCTGGAGTCAGACTTATCTGTAACATTTCTTATGGCATTAGTTACTCTTTTTAATAGTGTAAAGTGAATATTGGCTCAAATGTTACTCAGACTCATATTATTGTACAATACTATATCAAGCTTTGGTTACACCTATCTGTCTTTTGTATGGTTTTAGTTACTATTATTAACTGTTTACAATGAACAATGACCATAATATTACTCATACTCACATCGATGTGTAATTACTCTATCATATTTTAGTTAAAACTATCTGCAGTGCTTGAAATGGCGAAAAGAAAAGTGCTTGTACGCATGAAAGTGGAACGGGGGTGTGGGGTGGGTGGCTGTACGCACTTAGATACATATTTCTGCGGTATCGGCCCATTTTAAACACTGCTTCTGTATCTTCTTTTATGGTTTTAGTTACTATTGTTAACAGTTTACAACGAACAAGGACTCTAATTTTACTCATAGGTACATTGTTGTGTAATTACTCTATTTTAGTTAAAGCTATATGTGACTTTTCGCTTTACTTTTCAGTTACTTTAGTTAACATTGTGCAGTGGGTACAACATCCTTCTATTTATTTGTTGTTGTAAAAAGAAACAACATACAATTTTTGATTTATTCTTATGATTAAAGAACTTTCGATGTTATGAAAAGAGTATGAATGCTGAGTATTTTCTTTTCTTTCTTTTTTTGCAGCCGTTTCAGTGTCCGTTAGCGTGTGGACCCTGGTTTCTATTTCTTTGGAAAGGTATTTTGCCATCTGCCGGCCGTTAAAATCAAGACAATGGCAGACAACATCTCACGCTTGCAAAATAATCATGTTTGTTTGGACAGGGTCCTTTCTGGCGATGCTTCCAACTGCTGTTCTGAGTAGACTCCTAGAAGTCAAGTCTAGTGGTAAGGCTCCAGATGATTATGTCTGACGAACACTTTATTAAAGACGTTAAATAATGTGTAATTATTAATACGGTACCGAGCATGAGGTGAAACGAACGTTTTCAATCCTAATCTTCTTTGTACAATATTCATTCTTAACGACTACATTTGTTTTCTGTTTCTATTAGAAACGTTTGAAAACGACTGTACGAAAAATCATTAAGAGCTTGGAAAGAATTTTAATGGCGTAAATGAAAGTAATTTAGGCCAAGTAAAGACTCAACCAAGTCCATTATTGCCTCTGAATATTTCAAGAAACACTTAGCGAAATTAAATAACCGATTGCTAACTTGTACTTCTCAAGCTAGGTAAATAAATCTCCGATAGGAAAGGTTAATGAAATACGAAAGAGTTCTATGTTGAAGCACTTGAATTTAATCTTTTAATTATGTGGCTTACTGGAAGAACTAGAATAATTAAAATCTTATATTAAAATACTACTTTTTAATATTATTAGATTATTTTCACGGCTCTCAAGCTGATAACTTGTACAACTACCTGTTTCAGCATTGTAGAAACGTTTCTTTCCGACCTTTGCATGATTGTCTATTACGGCGTCATGTTCTTACTGGTTTTTATGAGAAACAAGAGCACAGATTCCACGGAGTAAAGCGACGAAAAAAGAACAAAAAAACTTTGTAGGCTTACTATAACTCCTTTATTTTTTGTGGTTGAAATTTACATTTGAAGTTCATCTTCAGCATAGGAATCACTAAGTGCAGTGTTAAGTAACTTGATAGGAATGTCTGCGTCTTGCTTCAGCCAATTTATTTACAAGAAGGTTTCCCGGTGGGACAGCGGTAAGTTTACGGAATTACAAAGTTAAATTCCGGGGTTCGATTCAACAGATATCCCAATGTGGCTCCGTCCTAAAATAAACAAACAAACATAGAAGGATGCCACATCAAAAGGTTTAGTTCGTTACGTGGCCTATGGTAAAACTTGATTAACACGAGTAACTGTTTTAAATTAGTCAGTTGTTTCTTATGAATTAGAGCGATTACTGATTCATAATCACACTTTTCTGCTGAAGCAGAAATCTCAACACTACCAATAATGTAAGATCATGGCCTTTGCTCCTTACATATTTCACTAAATGATAAGTCACCAGAGTTTACTATTATATATTAACCAGAGCTGTCAACAAAGGTTGCAGAATGACGGGAATTTTTGTTATCTTTCTTTATAAAACGAAACTTTCAATGCTAGTAGAGATGAAATTTCTTCCTGAGTTCCAAAAACAAAATTAAGACTATTCTGTAAGAAACCATGAGACTGCTTCCTCTGTACTTTTTCGGTTCAAATAGAACCACAATAAATGTGATATGTTGGGAGCTAACCGTTTCTTTCGGTTTAAACAAAACTACTAAGACTGTGATAATATGTAAACTGATTCATTTATATATTTTTCTTGTTGAAACAGAATCATCAAGGTTATTGTAGAATAGGAGATGATTTATTTATTCTGCTAGAAGAGAAATGTGCGAGTTGGTTCTCTTTCTATTTATTTCTAAAATATAACTATTTAAGGTATGAAATTATGAAGACGATTCTTTATGATATCTGGCCAAGACCGCGGAATTATTGGAGTTATGTTATACTGTTTCTTTGAAGTTAAGAACAAAGCTACAAAATGGGCTATCTGTGCTCTGCCTACCACGGGTATAGAAACCCGGTTTCTAGTGTTGTAAGTCCGCAGACATACCACTCTGCCACTGGGGGGCTTATGTTATACATTTTGTTGTTAAAGCATAGCTGTCAATCTATGGAATGATGAAAGTATTTCTTCCGTATTCCTTAAAACAAATATTGTAAAATTGTACATTTATGACAGACCGTTCCTTTCCGATATTTGAGAGAAAAATTACCAATAATAATAATAAAAAAAAAACATTTGAAGACGATAACAATTTGGTGTTATCGAAGTAGTCAAATTTAAAACATTTTTCGAGCTTAATATTTACTTTTTACTATTTTGTACTGTACGACTTGTAGATGGCAGGTAAAAGATATTTAAAGTGTCTGCAGAATTCGTTATACTCCCTTATGCACACAGTAAGTGGGCGGTTTTGTTTCCTTGGCGTTTTTATTATGGGTATCTTCTATGTTATCATTTTCAAGCATTGTCAGGACTGCCTTTCTTTCTATGCTAAGGGATTGACTGTTACTCTTACAACACGTGGTTACACGCCCATTGCGTGTGGAATATTATGTGGTATAGCATGGATTTGAATCAGGTTCGCCAGTTCCGAAATCCAGAGCTCTACTATAGAGCCAACTCACGCCCTGGATGTCGTTGAAAACTATTTCAGGATACAAAGTTTGATTATGTATGCCTTTTCAATTTCCTTGTAGAAAAATATGCAAACAAATATTAAAGTTATTGATTTATGAATTTTTACATTAAACTCTGATAATGGTTAGTTTTCTACTTACTCCTAGAGAATTATAAATAGGAAACATGTTCAGAAAATGATATACGTTCCATGATATTTCTACTATGTGAGGTCGCTACAAGTGTCGGGAGTTATGGCCACAGAAAGTTCCGGAGCAACTCTTTAACCTCTACCTAGATGTCATACTATTGGTCATTCCACTGGTCGTCATGTCTGTAGCGTATATAATCATTGTTCGGAGACTATTTTTCGGACTACAGGCTGGTAATGAAGGTGAGATATAAACGAAATTCATAAACGTTTCACAAAGTTTGATATTTACCTTAATGTGTAATATTAATTAATGGCTTTAGCTCTTCAGGTATGTCGTATTAAATACACAATTTTGATAAGATTAGCAATATTTAAAAATATTTAAAAATTGTGACCTTGATAACTTGACATTTAATCTGTAGATAAAACATGCACAGTAAAAGAGTCAATCTTTTTGTTTACGTTTTCAATCAAGTATTTTTATTGTAAACGAAGTTACAGCCTAACAGCATAATTAAGGTTTAAGGCCTATATTTACAAATTATCTTATGCTTTTAATTTTAGTATATTACATCATAAAGATGTGTCTAACGACATCATAGCTCATAATTACGGTTGTGATTACAGTAATTTACAATAAATATATACAACACAGTGAGTGAACTGTCTACACTGAAAGATTTGTTACTTACGTAGTGTATGTGTAGTTTGGACAGTGAGAGTATTAAGTTGTAGCTTGAATATTTCTCACTCCTCTTGATCAATATGAGGAAGTGTTCTCTGAATTTTAGCTTAATAAGTAAACAAGCTCCGTACTTTAAAAAGTCAGTTTGGATGTTTGGTTTTTGTTATTTCTGAAAGAATAGGTTGAAACAAATCAATTCAGCTACTGATAAATTAGTTAAATTGGTTTAACTAGAGTGACGCTTAAATATTTCAATTCCCTTTACAGAATTCGGCCTGAACCCACTAGGAAATGGTAGACAAGTAAACATGGCAACTGATGGGCAGAATGAGAGAACTTACAACACCGTTATTGTTCACAGTCTTCACACAAGGACTAACATTCAGAGACATCTTGTTGTAAAGGGAACAACAAAGAAAAGCTACGCAGCTAAGAAACGAGTTATTAGGATGTTGTTCGTTGTTATGGTGGAATTTTTTATTTGCTGGACACCTCTCTATGTCATTAATACGTGGTCTATATTTGACCCGGTCACAATTTATGGAAAACTTGGTACCACTGGATTTTCAGCTATTCAACTTCTAGCTTATATTTCGTGTTGTTGTAACCCTATGACGTACTGTTTCATGCACAAAAAATATCGCCAAGCTTTTCTCACTGCCGTGGGATGCAAAAAGCGAAGATCATGGAGATCTTATCGGTGGAGCGATAGGTCAGCGACGGCCAACAGCTTATATAGCTGCCGGAACACTAATTCGGCAGTCGCAGGAGTAGATGTAGGCGCATCTAGTAACCAGATTTAAATACTTCTTGGGAAAACACCAACAAAACAGATAAAGTTTTAAAAACATCAAGTATATGTATCAAGTACATTATGAAATATTATTTGTGTTTTATAATGCAGCTTCACTGTGGCCTTCACAGCCACTGAATTCGGGTGCAAGATCTATTAAAGTATCAGTTTCCAAGGTACTAGAAGTTGGCTTATTAACCAAACAGACAGGCTGATAGATGACAGTTAATGTTTTTCTTTAAATTTTCACATAAGCTTTAAGGTACATCATTTTGATTTTAACAAGGAGTAGTCTATTTATACGTACGCCTTTCGAATTGAATCGAGCCTTTAAGAAAAACAAAGGACATTTAAACTCGACTAATTATTTTGGAAATGTTTAAATATTCATTAAAATCGCTTTACAAACAGACGGAAATCACCGTGAACAACTGAAGATTACTAAGATAGGTGCAATTGTTTCTTTAAGCTGTATCGCCCAGTGATTAGCGTGCCAGACTGGGGATTCGTAGTTCATTTCCCGTTACAAAAAAAAACAAAAAACGTACTCCTCACTTTGAGGCATTTTATGCGTTAAAAGAGTGAGAGTCAAATCTCACTATTCGATTAATCTACAAGTTGGCTGCGCGTCGTGTTCACTACCTGCCTTCCCTCTAGTGTATCACTTCAGAACTATTGACAACTAACGCAGATACCCTTGGTGTAGCTCTGTGTAAAGTTCAACAAACATGAACAATATATCCTATTTCACCAAGTTAAATGCTAAACTTGAAAGAAATTCCCTAGCTTTTTTATTTAGCCTGTCGCCCCTAGTGACTCAGCAGTAAGTCTGTGGACTTATAACACAGGTTTCATATACCTGTGGTAGGCAAAGCGCAGATAGCCAATTGTGCAGCTTTGTGCTTAACAACCAACAAATATACCTTATCCTGTCTCACTATACTGTTCCTTCGTGGGTTAGTAGTAAGTTTATGGACTTACTACTCAAAATTCTGGGGTTCGATACCCCACAATGGACACGGTGCAGATAGCTCATTGTGTAGCTTTGTGCTAAAAAACAACAGCAACAACTCATTAAGTTAAATATTGAAGCAAAGTTTCTGGTTTTGTTTTTTTATCCTGTGTCGCTAAGTTAAATGTAAAAGCCAGTTTCCTGGTTTTGTTTATTTATCCTGTGTCGCTAAGTTAAATGTAAAAGCCAGTTTCCTGGTTTTGTTTATTTATCCTGTGTCGCTAAGTTAAATGTAAAAGCAAGTTTCACCAAGCTGAATGTAAAAGCAAATTTCCTTGAATAGATTTTCCTTTTGGTTTTCACGAAAATAAAGAGAAAAATATTTACAACTCAGTTTTTTAAAACATTCCACATATGTTATTTTATCGCTTGAAGTGTGTGCGGTTTTGGGTTAGTTTGATTTTCTCTTTAATTATTTTTCTGATTTTTAATTATTAACTTCAAATAAAATTTTAGAAAAAAACAAGAAGGGTAAATAATTAAATATTGTACTGGTATAATCGTTAAACAAACAGAAAGTTATTTTACCACGAAAAAGAACAACGAACAAAAACGATTTTCATAATGTGAAAAATCAAATGTTGGTTTCATTACTTTTACACTGTAAAGTCAAACTCTCATCACAATATCCGATAACTAATTATTTAGATTAGCAGTTTATATGAGCTGTAATGAAGCTACTGATAGACTCCTGCCTGACGATAGCTCTGTTTTGTATAACCCCAGAAATGCGCAGCGACCTTCAATTATGTATTTATGTCAAACACATCCCTTGATATTCCAATATCAC